TCCGTGAAGGTATTTCATGTTCGGGGTCATTTGTTTTTTGTATAATCTTGCTTCGTGCAAGGGATAATTGTTGTCATCTTCTCTGTAAACTTTTTTTTTTCGCCGTTCTTTTGCCATTTTGAGATTTACATTTCTAGCGGAAAGCTAACCAGGAAGTGTTTTAGCACACCACGTGACGCATCTGAACGAATCACGTTGTCTGAAATTGACACCAGCCAATGAGATTTCGTTTCTTGGTTTAAGACCCCTTTGTGCTTTCACGATTGGTTGCTGATACAAAGGAAATGACCATATTTGGATCCGATGAGATTGTGCAGGAGAGACACAGCTTTCTAACGATATCTCTGTTGACATGGTGCACACAGCGGTCGCGGTACTTTATGTTACGTTAGAAAGCTAACTTTTGGTGAATTTAGGAGAAATCTACTGACGCAAATAGACAAACTATAGTCAAATAAACACTTAAATGTGTATTTTGTACGTTTTCCTTCCAAAAGCCTGAAAGAAAACATGTTATAGAATCAAAATAGCACAAAATCTCAAAATTGACCAGTGCTTGAAAAACGATGTTTTTGCCTGCCGTGTCTCGCCCTAATTAATGGAAAAACTTATTTTAACAGCTTAGTTGGAATCGGGTCTAAGATACATGTTGATGGTTTAGAAGAGAGAATCATTTAATTTAATTGTTCAAGGTTTATGGCTGAAAAGCATTTTAGTTTACTATCTAGTGTAATATTAGAACTTACGTTTCCGGGAGCTGTTGATAACAACTGTAGGCTAAATTGTAATCATTTTTGTGTTATTGCTAGTAGTTACCCTTTTTGGCCATTTATACATACATTATATTTGACTCTCTTTGTTATTAATGTTCAACATGTTCATGTGTGATCTTTGTTGTATAACATTCAATTTGGAGTTCTAAGTGCCAATTTCTAGATCTTTGTATAGTCATACACTTTAAACAGTTTGTGCCAGAAATATACATGTACTCGTACTGCACTTAGGTACAATTATGAGGTTATTGTACATAAAGTGAGAATTTCAATTTTGCAGTTACTTTAATATATATATAATATTTCTAAAATATTGATATCTTAATGGTCTGTTTCGCAAATGATAACACTGCAATAAAGTTACTTTAACAAACATTCTGTGGATGCACAAAATCCCATTAATTGTCTATGAAGCAGCTACCTACTTTGTATCTGATGAGATCACAAGTTTTACAGTAACTTCTCTGTTTTCTGGCTTTGAGAAAGAGTACCTCATGTTCACACATAATGATTGACCTTTCCTATGACTTGAAGATACAGTACATATTGGAATCCTTCTTTTAGTAGATGTTCCCACATTTCCCAACAGTAATGCAGAATACAATGGGCTCTACCAGCCACAGATGAAAGGATTGCTCACGTTTATGTATCAACAATATTATAAAAAGAACACTGACAGGGACACATCCTGCATTATGAGTAGTTATACATCTGACACCTTTTAAGATGTTGTTACTAACAGTTAGCACCAATTCAATATCATGCATGGATTTCATCTGAAGTGTCTGTTTGGTGCCCTCTGCTGTTGGCTTTTCCAGATGTCCTCCGTGCTGAAGCGGAGGTATTATTCCTGTAATTATGTGGATTCCAGAGGATTTCCCCTTAAAAAGGGGAACTGTTCTTGAAATTGCTTGTGGCTGTGATCATGAGTCATCACAAGGCTGCACAGAGACACCGCCTACATGTCTATTTCTCTCACATGCACATCACCATATAACACCCACCAAATACATAAAGTTCTCATAATTCTGTTGAATCAAAATAAAGTCGGAGAAAGCATTATATATAGTGGTCCTTTAAGAACTTATTCACAAATTAACACGTTAGATATCATATATCCAATCATATTTATTCAATCTTTTACACAATACTCTGATACTTATTTGACAGCAAATATTCACAAAATCTCACACACACACACACACACACACACACACACACACACACACACACACACACACACACACACACACACACACACACACACACACACACACACACACACACAGATCTGGTTGCCATGGTGCACCGTTTTGTAATCACAGATCACAGATACAGAAGCTATCAATACACACAGCACGAATGGAATGACACAGTAGATATAACTTTTCAATATGATTTCTTAATTCATTTCACATGAAAAAATCTGTGTAGGAAAAAAAAACAACTGTAAACAAGATCAATAATTTAAAGTCTCTTTTTGTCCCTTGGTTGTGAAAGTGGTAGCTGATGAGATTTTACACCACAAATAATAATCATGCAGCGTCATTCATGATGAGGAGAGGAGACAGTGGGGGGGGAGGTTTGTACCAGGAAAATCTCAAACGTATTTAACACACAACAAAAAGAAGAAAATAAGGAACGTTTTTTACACTTTAAAATCAAACAGGTTGCAGTCGATCTTGTAGTAGACGTAAGGATAATACTCCTGCACACTCAGGTTTAGGCCTGGGATGTCCATGGCACACTGAAAAAAATAAGATAAGACTTATAGAAAAAAAATTACCAATAACAAAAAATAAAAATATAAATAAAAAAGGTCAAATTAAGTATTCTGAGGAAAAACACAAAAGCATGTAGTGCCTAGCAAACATTTCTCACTCCCTAAACCCCAGGGATCGCTACATTATCTTCAATCTTTGAATTTCAAAACTTAAGAGTAAAATATGCAACTTTTCCGCATTAAAATGTCTAAAAACGACGAAACAATATTATCTAATTTGTTGAATTTGGTCGTTACATGTCCAAAAAAAAGAAATGGGACATTTTAGTCAAGGTAAAGCTGCCTTCACATGGTACACAATTAGCTCTTGGCTCACCGTGACGTAGGGCCTTGCTGTGAAAACAGCTTGTTAGTTTTGTTTCTATGGTTACTTTACCTGCTTGCCTGCATCGTTTCATACAGCTGTCAACTGATTGGTTGCAAATCAGTGGCCATCGAGGTCAAAGTTAAACAAATGTGAACATCGAGCGCAGCAATAGATTTGTAACGCCAAGGGTGATACCATTTAAACCATATTCGAACCGAATGAGGATTCAAGTCATCAGATGCCTGGATCTTAAGATGAGCCAACGTTAGCAGCAGCTCAGCTCACAGCCCCTCTGGATAAACACTTATTTTTAAATGAAAGTGCTGTATTTGTTCTCACTGGTTTTAACACACGGATCCATTTGCTTTGGAGGGGAGATCTCTGTGGATTATTAGCAGATTCTGACTGCAATGGAGGTGAAGAAGGCCACTCACAGCATCTCACACTACTTCAAAACTTCACCAAACCACATCTTCTGTTATTGTTTTGATTGAAAGATCTAGAAAAATACATATTGTCATTTTTAAAGACAACTATGTATTTTTGGCTAATACAGCTATATACCTCAATTAAAAACTATTATAACATACATGTAAATAATTTAACAGCATAGATTGTATGTGGTAAGGTAATATCTGTTGTATTTGAATGCAGTACCCAGCTTTGGCCATGAGAAGGTGCAGCTGTTACTCTCTTCATTCCTACTTTATACAGGATGTATTACATTACATACTATATAGTATAGTATAATTTATTTTTGGAGTTAGCATACAAAAAACAACATCATTTACCATCTTAAACTATTAGGAAGGTATTCAATAAATAAGATGTATCTTCACTATCAAAAGGCAAGAATGTTGAAACGGAGCCTTGTAATGTCAAAGGGAATTAAAGCTAAAAAATAAATCAGTTCCTCTATTTCCTTTTTGCATTGCATCGTTGGACACCCACAAATAGCCTTTATTTGGCATTTATAAAGTCTGGTTTCTGCATACTTGACTTTTTGTAAGTGTGAAAACACAACAATATATAAAGGGCTTAGAATCTGTTTGTATTGTGACCAAAGGACATGCAGCTTGTTCTGCTGTTGACATGAACGGCTCTTCAGCAAAGGACTACAATGTGAAATCAACATCTAAAATAACGACAAAAAACACACATTAATGCATTTTTTTATAAAGAAGTCAAAGGTGTAAATCTATATATATTTATAGTAAATAATAACTTCTGCCATTTTCTGCCGAATGTCATAATTTTGCTACAGGCCTAACCTTTATAAAATAGTAAACACATGAACAATACTTAAAGGTGGGGTTTGTAATTTTGGAGAAACCAGCTCGAGTGCGCTACAATTTGAAAATACACAACCGGAAAAAATCTGCCACTTCCTTACAGAGCCCCTCCTCCAACACACGAACGCGCACATGACCAATGAGGGCACGAGATAAGTTTGTGCACAGATGGAAGACTGACAGGCAGGTAGGCCATCCAGTTATGTTTTAACAGTACTACGGCTTCCACAGATTACATTTTTTTATGGATTTTTTGTCAAAGCATTTAATATATTCATTGCTATCGGGATGTTAAGAGCATTCCACGGACTATAACAAAAGGTGTATCTCGAGCCGGTTTCTCAAACTCACCTACCCCACCTTTAAGTAAAATAATCAAAATAATGATAATTATTTTTAAAACAAATACATAAGAAAATGAAAGAACAGAGAAATAAAAATGAAATGCTGACAGTACTCACATCGATGATGGCGGACGCGCTGCTGTCCAGATGTTTGTACAGGTCGTTGAGCACCTCCCTCAGCCTCTTCATGGTCTTCTTGCTGGGCTGCAGCAGCATGGCCTGGAAGTTCACCGGCAGCCCGTATCTGCAGGAACACACAGCTCAACTTTTACTGCTGCCAATGAAGATCACACTTGGGTTTATAAGTATACGTTCGGTGATATTCATTTAAGACTGTATTTCAGATTACCTTAAAACAGATTCCACAAAGACCCTCAGAGCTTTGATGTGAATCCATGCGATGAAGGCTTCACTGAAGTTCACTTTGAGCCATCGGACCAGAGGGCCCTGCAGAGACAGATTAGGGTTAGGATTTCATTTTGATGTGGCAGTTTTACAATCTGGCCAAAACAGGAGAAGAGTAGTACAAAATAAACTATGCTTATCAATAATAAAAATACTACAAAATCATTGGTATAGTGGATAACGGGCATGTGTGGTTCAGTAAAAGGCCTCAAGTACCCATGTGCAACAAGCACGTTTTCAGAGCAATGCATTACAAAGAGATCTCAACCTGAGATTGAAAAATGATTTGAAAACGTATTGCGGTTACATCACTTACAAACTGCTTCTTCTTGTCTGTGGAGAGCCGTGTCATCTCCTCTTTGTCGGCCTTCAGCTCCTCCTCATTGTACTGGAAGTCTCTCACTACGAACCTAGAATAAGATGTTGAGGGCAGAAATCATCCACTTTTGATCAGCAATATTTCTGTTTGTATAAAGACACTGATATAAACCCTGTGATCACTGTCCAGCTGATATATTTAGTCAGAGCTATTTCTATCTGCCTAGCAGAGCGACTTCGTTCAAAATAGAAACACGTTTCACACCTCTTGATAAAGATCCATAATGACAGTGTGTGTGTTCGCTGAGTGTGACCACTCTTACTTGTTCTCCCTGGCTTTGTGTTTGAAGTCATCAACGGCTTTCAGAAACAGAGTGACGCTGAACAGTCCGCTGTCATGGTCTTCAAACAGCAGACTGGAAGAGAAGACAGGAGCCTGTTAGACTGCTGGGAATCACTAACTGTACATAAATGGGCATATGAATACTCAATATACGTATAAGTATATGTTGAAGAGAGACAAGAAACATTATAGTAAAAAAAGAATTAAAAAATATACAACAAATCACTCAAATAAAATAAATAACTTCTTGAAATTAATTCACTTAATTTTGATTTAATTTGAAGCAATTACAATTAAATTACCAAAAATGAAATATGTGCAGTATACAAGAATTTATAGTGGATGAGCTGTGCGACATTTAAAGAGGTAGCATTGTACAAGAATGCAAATGTGTAAAATATACCATTTCTAATGACAAATTGCCTAAAATGTGGTTTGACATGACTTACTGTGAGGATCGAGGCACCACCATCTCAGCCAGACCTTCATATGATTTCTGCCAATCAGTGTACGCTGCCCTGAAAGCAAATAACAGGGGGACACTAAGATTTCTGTGTCTCGGGAGGAATGCTGCCACAGGTTGCTCATTTAATAATTTGCATACAGACATAATAACAATTCTTAGAGAAATAACCCTCACTTTGGTACCACTACCAGCAGAGTGATGAGGTACTCGGAGTCGAGTACGAAGTCTTCCTTCTTCACGATGTCAGCCAGGCTGCGGGTCAGCAGGCTCCCCCTGGAGGCAGAAAGCAGTGTTACAACAACATGGACGCCACCAAGAGAAATTGACAAAGCATTTCAGAGTTGCAGCGACTTTACAGATCGTGCTGACACAGTCAATGTTCTGTGGAGGAAATATATTTTGTAGGGCCGGGACTTTAACGCGTTAATTAAGATTAATTAATTACACAAAAATTAACGCATTTTAATCGCACTTATTTTTGCACCGCGGAACGTTTCTCACTGGATGAGTTTCAGGGGTACCGATTATACTGGAGCACCAACTAACGTTCATGACTTCAAACAACAACAAACCACAGTGAACAATAGTCAAACATGAACGAAGAAGCTGATGAGACCGCTTTGGTTGGCCCCGTGGATGGGACATTTTGTTTTAAAAAACGGACGGATGGAAGCATCGATAAGAGCACAGTTGTTGGCAAATTATGCAAAAAGGAATTCGCATATCACCGCAG